CAAATCATTATTCATATATATATATATATATATATATATATATATATATATATATATATATATATATATTTAAATAGGTTTGAAACGGTACAAAGGCATAAAGGCATTAAACTAGAAATGTAGTATTGTAAGCCATGATAAGTTTAAAATAAAACACACCAGTCGACCGGTTTCGTCCCCTCTTGTCAGAACTGTTAACGGGGAATTTAGATTATGAGGAAAAGAAAAAGTCTGTCATGGGTGACATGAATGAATGGACAGGGAAGGAAAAAAAAAAATTATATATATTAAAATTATACCAACCAAGCTGCTAGAATCGCAGAACAGCAAGTTCATTGCCCTTTTTAGATGTTCTTGTTCAAAGAACTCCTTCCTTGTTTATTACCTCTGTGTACAGGAAGTCTACTTTTACAGGACTATATACCCGTTGGGACTCCTTTTGTCCTAAACAACAAAAGATTAATTTGATTAGGACCCTGACACATAGGGCGTTAATGATCTGTTCGGATGACACCTTGAAACATGAAATCAGTTGTTTAACTGAGATCTTTGTGAACAATGGCTATCCGTTGAACATTGTTCAATCGGTTATTCGAGATGAGACCGCCAGGTTTAACAAAATCAAACCTGCTTCAGTAGGTAAATGTCCGGTCTATCTTCGTTTACCGTGGTTGGGTAAGATTAGTGAATCCTTCGCTAAGCGTATTTCATGTAGTTCACGTGAGTGTGATTTTGCAGATTAACGTTCGTGTTGTCTTTCAAACTAAGTCCATACTTTCATCTATGTGTAAAGATGTTCTACCCCCACCATATTAACTCTGTTATTTACTATTTCAAATGTAGTTGTGGATGCGACTACATAGGTAGAACGACACAGCGGTTGGACGTGAGAATTAAACAACACGCACCTGTGATAATCTGAAACAAAAAATTTTTCTTTTGGGCGATACCATTCGTAAACACGTATGGGTCTTCCATTGCGGATCATTTTATAAAGAATCCAACTTGTGCGATGGATTTCAGTGTGAACTGGTTTTCCGTCTTGGCCAGTTCGCACTCACTTTTTCCATCTTAAGGTGCTGGAGTCTTTACATCAGGTCTAGGCAGCCTGCTCATTGCAAACAGAGAGAATGTTTGCTTGGACTTGCTGTTCTGCGATTCTAGCAGCTTGTTGGTATAATTTTAATATATATAATTTTTTTTTTTCCTTCCCTGTCCATTCATTCATGTCACCCATGACAGACTTTTTCTTTTCCTCATAATCTAAATTCCCCGTTAACAGTTCTGACGAGAGGGGACGAAACCGGTCGACTGGTGTGTTTTATTTTAAACTTATCATGGCCTACAATACTACATTTCTAGTTTTTAATGCCTTAATATATATATATATATATTTATATATATTACATACTCCCGCATGCAGCACACACACATATATATATATGTAATTGTTAAATAGTATAATTAAAATAAGTATATGCTATCGTTTTTTGTTTATTTAATATTTCATTTTTATTTAATGGTTAGTAGTTTATTTGTTTTTGCCTTGGTGCTGTATACTGAGGTGTTGATTACGGGGGGTTCGGTTTGTTCATTTTTTGGTGTGTGTGCATATACATATACATATGTACATGTACACACAAGGTTTATATGTTTAATATTTGTCTGTTTATTAATAAATTAAGTTTATATTATATTTATTTCTTTTATTTATTTAAAGTTTGTATTATATTTAATTTATTTAATTTATTTATTTAAAGTTTATATTATATTTAATTTATTTTTAATTTAAAGTTTTTATATTTAATTTATTTATATTTATTTAAAGTTTATATTTATTTAATTTATTTATATTTAAAGTTTATATTATATTTAATTTATTTATATTTAAAGTTTATATTATATTTAATTTATTTATATTTAAAGTTTATATTATATTTAATTTATTTATATTTAAAGTTTATATTATATTTAATTTATTCATATTTATTTACTTATTTATAGTTAGTGCTTAGATAGCAAAGTAAATATTTATTTATATGCCTACATTTACCCATTATTTCAGTTTTCTTGTTTAAGAGTTCATTTTGCTTTTTAAAACTAATTATTGCTAATTTTTCCTCTAAGCATAATTTACAATTTTTACAGTTAATACTGCACAGAGCTGCTCTTTTTATAATTTCCCATTTGTTTTCGGTAGAGATACTTTCTTTTTGGCTCCATATGTATTTTGATGGAGTTGTATTGTTTGTGCATTTTTTCTTTCAAATGACATATCTTTCTTTAAAAGTTTTTCTGTGGCCCATATGTAAATTTTTTCATCTGTGTTAATGTTATTATTTACGATAGCCTTGCATATTATGTTATTGGTTAAACATTTATTGTTAAGTGGGCAATTTTTTTTGTTTCTGCAGTTACATTTAATGATGTTATTTTGCTGCATACTGTTGTAATTGTTATTGGCTTTGTTGAGTATTTTTTTATTGTGCTTAGTTATTATTTTCTACATGTTATCCATACAGCTGTAATTAATTTTGATTGTATTTTTGTTGATAATTTGCTGCTTTTAGAGAAGTGTTTGTCAATTATTTTGGAAAATAGTTGACCTATTTTTGCTTTTATCATATTGTTGTAGTGGGGGAACCAAATTATATTTCTGTTGTTTTTGTCTGAATTGTTTTGGTATTCTAGTTTCTTGGAATATCCACTGTTTCTTGGGGCTGATTCATGTTTTTATTTCCACTGAATATTTTTAGGCTACTAGAATTTGTTGAAATTTTTATTTATAGATAGGAGTATTTGTTTAAATACATTAGTGGGGTGATTAGAAATTTTGTTAATATATATTGGGTTGTTGTAGGGTTGTATGTTCCATTGTTTAGGTTGAATATTATATCCAAGAAATTTAGTATTTTTTGATTTTATATCTATTGTAAATCCTAAGGTTTTTTTTTTTATTTCTTGTTTTATTTTTTCTGTCGTTCTGCCATTGCAGAATAAGTAATCTCCCTTTTATTAAAAAAAATTTTTTAAATTATAAATGAATATTCACAACTCAAAAATAAAATTTTTTAATTTTTTTCTTACATGCATATATAACTCCTGCTTATTTTAAATGTCAAATATAATTTTTTAAAAAACAGTAATCCCAGTATAATAAATAACTATGCCAATATTGTGATTACCAGATAAATTAAATCTGTGTAAAAGTGAAAACCATGTGTCTTCATAGTCAGTGGCACAGTCCGGGCTGTCTAGCAAATGCTGTCCAATAGACAAATCATAGACTGCTTGAGTAGTTCTTAAAGATTGGCTTTGACTACTTGAACGTAAAAAGGCTAGAACATATTGCGTAATTTGCATCTCCAAACTCAGATTGGCATTTAAATTTGTAAACAACTAAATTTTTCTGAAAATAGGAAAAACGATCCTTACTAAAGGCCGACTATGAAGACATGGTTTTCAATTCTACACAGTGCTTGCTCAGTTTACCATCTCCAAGATCTTGAGGCTGTGTTTATAAAATTTCACCAGCCGAGCCTGTGTAGATGAAAGGAGCATTTTATGTGCTCCTTATGGTTGTTGGAGGGGGACTGTGAGTGTCTTTTTTCCATTTTATACTCTTGTGGAACTTGTTATTTCATTTTTTTTTTTTAATTATTTACAATTAAAAAATATATTTTATTTTAATCGCTTTCCAACTTTCATTATTATGGCTGTGTTCTTAATTGTTTTACAATTTGCCAACGTTCACCTTTGAAAAAGCTTTGGTTGAAAGGTTCCTTAGTTGTAAAATGTCCATTTTGTTCAAATATATATATGTGTGTGTATATATATATATATATATATATATATATATATATATACACACACACACACCCCAGTAGAACCTCAGTTTATGAATTTAATTCATTCCTGAATGCCATTCATAAACCAAAACTATTTTTTCAATAGGAATCAATGTAGAGAAAAAAAGTCAGAGTACAAAAAATTAGGAAAAGAAAAGCATGGCACAACACATGAATGTATACAACACAGCAGTCGACTCAGAAACTATTCTATTCATATTACCTCAGTTTGGTAATGTTGTTTGAGAACCTAAATTTTGTTTGAGAATCAAGGCATTTTCATCTCAGATTTTTTGCTCAAAAACCAATTTCTTTACCATAGATGTTTGAGAAACAAGGTTATTCTGTGTGTGTGTATATATATATATATATATATATATATATATATATATATATATATATATAAGCATCCTGTAACTCATTTTAGAGTCATTGATTTACTGCATGTACAGCATCCACCACAGCAGCAATGAATGGAACTCAGCTTTCTTCAGGTTTATTTTAAATTCAAAGTTATAATTCTTCTTGACCCATTGTCCTACCAAGGTAAAGAGCTCATCTGCCCCACAGAAAGAGATTGATTCATCAATCAATTGATTATCCCAAAGAATATTAATGTAAAGTGAATGCAAAAAGCCAGAATTTGAACTTGGCTCACTGATTCCATTTTCCATACTGACAACCATTCTGTCAACCACACTTCTGTTTATATATCTAAAGTGGAGATCCAGTGCCATTGCCTTATTGACCATCTCAATATCAGACTAACGTTACTGCTTCAAAAACATGGCCTATTCATTGAGATTGTTACTGTTTTGCTTAGGAAATATTTTGACAGTCCACCTTTTCATGATGAATCTATACCAAGACCCTGATTAAACAATTAATCATTTTGTTATTAAACTGATCATTACCAAATGGTACATTTATTAACTCATAAAATATTAACAGTTATGTTAAATAATAGAAACAATGTAAAAGCAGGATTAAAGAGATGATGCCTACAGATTAAAGCATAAAATATTCAGATTAGATCACATGAGATTAGAGGTTGTTAAAAAAAAAAAAAAAAAAAAGGTATGGATTGACTTGCATTGATCGAGCAAGGGTAAACAAGCCATTCATGCAGTAAGCAGAAGTTGGACATCTCACCTCTGTGAAGGACACCATTGAAGTAGGTGTGGTCTCACGATGGATAATCCGAGACTAAACAAAGTAGCAGAAAAAAAATCTTAAAATTTTTGTTGTTATGAAGAAGATCATTTTAAATGCAGTCAAAAAATATTTATCAGAGATTTATTAGTTCCCCTATTTTTATTTTACTATAGATTTACTGTTTCAATATAAATACCTTTGAAAAATCACAGACTACACCACAAATTCTTATTAATCTAAAACTGGTTTGTTATTTAACAATTTAATCAAATCAACCACAGTGAGTAAATGGTTTAAACTACCGCAATTGTTAAGTTATGATGTTTGTAATTCTATTATTGGCTACTTTCACATGTATCTGTTTGCATAGCAAAATGACAATGATTCTGTACAAGACACAGAGGAAACAAATAATTATACTTTTCAGCAAATATTTGTTTGCTTTCAATTATGATTAAGAAAATTTAATAAAATAAAGACGTTTTTAAATTTAGAGTTATTATTTTGAATCCATTAACAGAGGCTGTTAATACATTAGAACTTTACTTCAGTTCCATAACTATTTTGATAAGGAAATTAAAAAAGAAAAAAGAATACATGTCAAACTGTCTATCATACATTTTAGTCATAGGAAATTATCAAATTTATTATACAATGCATTCTAGGTTTTAATGATATAATAAACTGTGATCAATGTTTGATATTGTGTAGTAATTGTTCAAAATTATTTCTCTTTTTCAATCTTCTACTTGCAGAAAAATTTTAATTTGTATGTAATTATTTTTATTATTATTATATATTGCTTCTTATTTATTTTCTTATAAATGTTAATTTTTCACATATTTATGATGTTTTATTTAATATTCCTAAAGTGAGCAATGTAATTGATTACATATTGAATTGTCTATATTCATTGAGACAATAGAAGATTTATGTCTTGGTATTAATAAGTCATGTGTCCTGTAACTCATTAGAGTCATAGGGGCACCACATGTACTGTAACCACAGTGGTGTGTCTTGGGCAAGATAGCTTGATGGAGCCCAACACTCTTCAGGCTGGTTTGAATTCAGAGTTCTCCTTCTCCTAGACTGGTTGCCATTCAAAGCTATAGAACCCAGTCTGTTCTGCTATTTATTTATAACTGAGGGAGAAGAGATGAATTCATACCTTTCCCAAGGGTATTAGCACATAGGTGAATGTAATGAACTCAACTGGAATTCAAACTCAGCTCTCCACTTCCTCAATGCATTTTACTCCACCATGCCTAATACATATAGACAAAAGCAATAGAGAACAATAAGTTTACATTTTGAATTTATTTATAAGAAGAGCAAATAATAATAATCCACTTTTTATTCTACTAATTACTAATTTTATTAAAATCAAATAACACTTTTTGTACACCATTTATTGAAAAAGAAATGTGTTCTTTCTTCTGTTTACCAGTCATGAAAAATTTCTGTTCCTCATCAGTTCCAAATCCAAGGATCAATAAAATGAACCCTCTCAGAATTTGTCTGGTTAATATTTAAAAGACATAAATAAAGACAGATTGTATGCAAATGATAAAGAAAGATAAGCAATGATAGACTCACATCTGCAGGTCGATCTTTCTTCATCTCTTCTTTGGCACTCTTTATACTCTGTGTATCAATACTACTGTAGTCTTCATCAGAGGCAACACTATCATACAATGGTTCATCATCACTTGATACCTGGCTGTAACCTCGAGAATTCCTTTGCTGACCTGACAGCACTGCTGATGTACGGCCAGCTGCAAAATAAAAAAAACAAAATTAAATATAAATGAAATTAATCATGGCTCTCAAACTCAAGGAAACAAAATAGCCATTATGTGCAGGGGGTCCACGAACCCAATCAGGTATGTTTCCAATCAAGTGGTTTGAAAACTCCCTTGAACACAGGTTCCCAACTAATCCATTTGATAATTTTGAGCAATAGGAAATGTGAAAGTAAGAGATATAGAGGAAAATTGTGAGAGAAAAAGAGAGGCAGGCAAGATTTTGCCTTTATTCCAGCCATTTGTAAGTACATCTTATGCATAATTTTTTAAAAAAAATCATCAATTCTCAAAATAAGAGACAATTAGCAACCCTGTTCACATCTGTCACAAAATACAAATATTCCCACTTTTCTTGAAAAGTTCAGTTCTCTTCTAGCAATTTTCTTTTTCTTTGACAATGTTGGAATTTTTTGTTTCACTTATGTAGTTAACCACAAAACAAGTCTTTTTCTTCTTCTTTGAAATTTTCTGTTGTGTGTCATAAATCTGTCAACTCAGCTACAACCTACTCCAGATTTATCCTTCTCACCTTATGAAAAAAAAAAAATTTCCTCATGTCCAAGTTAATTTTATTGTATCTCAATTGCCCCTTCACATCCAATTAGGCCTAAGCATCTACTCACCCTGAAATAAAATTGGAAATAAATTGGAATTATATATTTTTATCAAAAAATCTTTTTTAAATGTATTTAAGAATTTGAATCTTATTTCTGCTTTCCCTACTATGAGTTGTTAAATTTATAACTTAAAAGAGACCCAAAAATTGTCACAAAGTACATTTGTACTCTCTTGTAAGTTTATAGGAGGTGCTGAATAGGTCAAATTGTCTTTCCTTTCATTGGAAATGAACTAAAATTAAACTTTGCTACTTTAAAATTGACTGTTTGCACTTGGTGGATAGTGAAAACTCAATACTGCTACTCCAAGGTAATTCTATGAATTTATTTAATTTTTTAAATTTGTTGACAAAAATTAGTCAATGAAATAGTCAATAAAAATATGTAACATTTATTTAGTTGAATGCTTAGAGAAGACTAAATAATTAATCAATTGACAATAAAAAGAATAAAAATAAGTTTAATCAAGTTATTATTAAACAAAAAACAATATTTGTAAAAAAATAACAGCAAAAAACACTGAATTATAAAAAGTAAATGTGTAAATAATCATTTCTTTCTTTTTTTAAACTAGTCTGTCTGTCTCTCTTAAAAAAACAAAAAAAGTAGAGGTAGAACCATTTTTTTATTATTTCCTCTTTAATGCTAAAAACAACTAAAATACCTTCCAATTAATTAAAATTGATTGATCTCCAACATAGCATGATAAAAAAAGGCCCCAAACTTAATAAGAAAGAGGCTTTATCATCAAAATCTTTACGTTTTCATTAAGAGGAAAGACCAAAGTATTTTTGGTTAAATTTTTTCATTCTTTCTAGCATGTTCAAAATTTAGATTAAAAAATCTTTTTATTTTTTATGTCAGCAGTCTATGTAATATTTACTATTAGTTTTTTTAAGGGCCTTTTTTCAGGTGAAAAACATATTGATTTGGAAATTTTTGCAAAAATCAAATTGTCAGATCTTAATTAAATTTTCAGAACTTATTCTTGAATGAAATTATTTTAGAGATGTTTTTTTTTTAGAAAGTCATGATAAAAATATTTTTTTACATCTGTTACCCACACCCAATTTAATTTTATGAAAACTTGAGAAATTTGACAGCATGCCTTTTAAGTGATTATATCAGTTAAAAGCAGAAAACTTTAAAGAATGTAAATCATCGATTTTACTTTATAAAATCGAAATACATAGCTACCCAAAATTCAACTATGAATTGTAAAATACAAAACCCAATAAAACTAAGACATTATTTAGTTAGAAAAGCTTTTAATGGCTTTTATGAACAATATTATCTGAAGCCAAAATATTTTTCCAATGAAACATGAATTTTTACAAGAATTTTCTTTTTTTTTTTTTTCAATTTTAAATACAAGATGTGATAAATGTGTTAAATATTTTAAAATTAAGTTTCAATGCATGCCTTTGTGTTATTGAGTAGATCTATTTTTATAGATCAAAAATTTGGAAGCTTATTACAATCAGCAATACACAGGTATTTTTTAAATATTTTTTGAGTATGCAAAAAAAGTTTTAAAAACGTTTTTTCCAAATATATGAATAGATGTGTGAGACATAAATGTCACATGTTTTAAGAATTGTTTCCCCTGACAGCAAGAACCCATCCTCAGAAAATTTTTTGTTTTCCTTCTGGTGAGCATGTGTTAAATTCTCTGACTGACCTTCATCATCGCATTTTCAAAATTTTAAATTTCCTCTTTTACATCCTATTTCACTAAATATTTTAATTTAATTTTTAAATATAATTGCTATTTAGTGAGAGACATACTGCAATTATTAATTTATCTTTGCTAAAAAAAAGTACCTAAAAAAAAAAAAATTACTCTACAGTTAAATAAGCTGGTTCACTTAAAATTTGAAAATATTGTCACTTCTGTCCTTTTGTCCAATAAATTCACTTCAGTTCACACCTCTAAAACAAGTCACCACAGTTAAACATGCTTCTTTTATTTTCAATTAAATTTTTTTCCACTAAAAAATTAAGTAGTTTGTTTCCAATTACATTAAGTAAACTTTAAATTTTCTATTTTTCCTCAAATAACTTTTGAAAAAGGTATAATTGAGTATTACAAGTTTTTTAAATGGAGAATTTAACTTTTGTTTACAAATTTATCAAGATTTTTAACTAAAATTTCAGACATGCTAGGAAGGATTAAAAAATCTAAAAAAAATAATCAAAAAATACTTTGGTCTTTCCTCTTAATAATAACAAACATTTAGACATTAAAAAATTGTTTTCATTAAGTTTGGGACATTTTTTCATCATCTTTTTAAGCAAATTAGTGGATACATTTTTTTTTTCATGGCTTATCAACCTTTTCTAGGTTGCAAGAAAATATTTTTAGATTGTAAGAATTATATGGTGATAATAATGATTTACTGATATAAGTCCTACTAATTAACCCATAACTGGGGGGGAAGAGATGGGTACATACCATTCCCAAGGATATTTGTATGTATGTAAGTGAATATAACAACTGGAATTGGAATTCAACTGTCCAATTTTCAATTCCAAGCCATTTTTCATTACACCACCTGCACATCCAAACCTGCTATCACCAAAGGGTCATTCATCTAAGTACTGTAGTGAAGGTGAAATGAAAATAACAAAAACAAATTATCAACTTGTCTCAGATAATTTACATTATTTATATTATTCAGACTGTTATCCTCATCTTCACTGCCATATTCACAACGTTTCAGCCATTGTATGCTCCAGCCTTCTTCAGGTGATTGGAATTTAGAACCAAACCCTTTATTTCGTCCACCGGGTTAGATTGTTCTAGCTCCATGTGCCATGCCTCTTCCAGATGTCTCAGTTATTTCCCTTTAACTCAACACTCCAAGGTTTTGGTTCATCACTGCTGTAGCCTGGTATTGAACTCACAACTCTTTGGGTCTAGTCACTGGATCTAACCAATGCCTTTATCTACTTTATTCTAGAAACTAGAATAATCTACCCTGGTCGATCGGTTCGAAATTCCAATCACCTGAAGATGGCTGGAGCGTACAATGGCTGAAACATTGTAAATATGTCAATGAAGATGAGAATAACAGTCCAAATAATCACAATACCTCATCTGAGAGACATAGACAGATACTGTCTTGGATAGTTTGAATTATGCAGGAGGCACAGCTTTACATCAAATGATAAATGACCAACCTGTTCCCAATGATTTCTTCTCTAGAAAGTTATCACAGACCCAACAGAGATATTCCATCTTTGATCATGTGTTGTTCGCTGCATTTCTAGCAGTGTTGTACTTTAAACACCTCATAGAAGGTAGGGATACACTTTTGTTAACAGATCATAAATCTCAGTGGAGTACCTTTACTAATCATTTGCCACTGAAGTCAAACAGACAAGAGTGTCATTTGAGCTTTATGAGTGAATATATAACAAACATTTCTCATATAAGAGAACATGAATATATCACTGTAGACTGTTTATGAAAGCCAGCTAGTGGTGTAACAATAGATCTTTGTGATTTACAGGAAATTATCAATCATCAGCATTCCAATGAAAGGAATTCACAAGTCTAAGTGGAATTTTCTTTGGACCAATGAAAACCTTACCTTCACAGAAACTGACTAGTGAACCAAGAAAAAAAAGGAAAAGAATTCACAAGCTTATGTGATATTGTTTTTTTTTTGCCTTCACAGAAATTAACCAGTCAGCCAAGAAGAAAAAAAAATTAGCAAGCCTACACAAAATTCTTTTTTATATAAAATGAGGAGAAAAATTGAATTAAAAAGAAAAGAGTTTCTGGAGTCATGTGAAAAGTTTTGTTTCAGTCCCTTGCAATCTGCATTGAGGTTCTTTCCCATGTAAAATTATTCACAAATTATATTATCAGCTTCTAAGCATGAGGCATTTCAAAGAATTTTTTTTCAGTATCTCTCTTCATCTACTTTTGAACATATGCAAACCATATATCTCTTCAGTGAGCAATGGGCTATCTTACCTTGGTTTTAAATATTTTTGAATATTATTTGGTGTCCAATCATTTAATCTGTTGTATGACCATTTCCTCTCCAAAATTATGAACTTTAAAACTTTAGCTACTGACAACTTCAAGCATGTAAATTGGTAAATAAATTCCTTATCTTCTTTTATTAAAATTATCCATATGTTTCCTTGTCATTATCATTCTTTATTAATCTTCTTGGCATAGATATATCAACTGTTCATTTTAATCTGGAAGCCCCATGAAAACTATATACTAATCAGGCTTGATGTTGCTTTGGTGAGTATATGAGAACTGGTGTTAAACCAATTAAGTAAGAACCAATTCCCTACCAGATTTTTTATAGCAGGGACCATTTTCACAATGTGTGCATAAACTTTATTGTCACAAATAACAAAAAAATATAAATATCTCAATAAGATCTTTGATATAAATTCAAAATTAATTTTTCTGGAAAAAGTTGAGAATTTTTTCCTTTTTCTCAAAAGGACATTTTAAGATATACTTCAAACATATATTTAATATGCACTGAATACCTGAGTTTTAGATAGCATGTAATGATTCCAAATTAGCTAATAAAATCCAGCAGTTTTTGGAAACTTATGTAATAATATGCAAACTCCAACTAAAATTAGTCCAGGTTTCTTTAAGAAAAGAAATGCAGACATTTATTATCATTTTTTCAATATAATGTTGTTTGCAAGAAGTTCTACAACTAAATGTTTTTAAACTTGAAATTTAACAAATATTTCAATTGCACATTCTTAATTGCAAGTATAAATCCACTTCTCTTTAGGAAATTTGTATATCAAGAGATATCTATTGAAGTTCTATTTCTGTCATTAAGTTCATAGATCCTAAAATATTAATATGACCTAATGCTTTCAATGAAGAGTTTCCATCAATTAAACTATTACATGTTTAAAATTATCTTACAGTCCATTATCATTAGGATAATGCATCCACCAAAAGTATGTAATGTACTTCTGATACTTTGCCAAACAAAACTAAAAATCATTTTTACTGATGTTAGTAGTATAAATTATATATTTCCTTTTGTGATTTGAAAAACATGGATGACATCAGTAATGAATCAGATATTTTGCAAATTGTTAAATTCAGAGGCTTATTAAACTGGAATCCTTTACAGGTTGACATACCTTCTGAAATAGAAAAAGATCTCAGCAAAAGTAATTTGACAAAAAGAAAAAGGAACATTATTATTTTCATCAAAAGCATAAATACGAGACAAACACAATTCATATATAAATGTCCATTAATAGTTATCTATGTTGAATCCCCACCAAAAATAATGAATATAGAACACCTTATCTTCTATAAATAAGCAGTTTTATACATTAGAACACCTTTCTTAATATTTAATAAGATGCATATGTTTATAGAGAAATAGATTAATAATAGGGTATATTCATAATTCCCACATATAAAACATGTAAAATGTGCATTTATACATGTGCATATAACACCTGCAAGCTCCACTAAAGTTTAAAAAATGAAATATACAGAATGTAAAAATGTTTTATTGACAAAACATATTTATACTTGAAATATTCTGTTAGAGCAACACTTAAATTGTGCTTGGCTCTATAAATAAAAAAAAATTAATGTAGTTTAATGTATTACATTTGTTTTTATTTATATCATGGAGACAAAGTAGTATCTTTTCTTAATTTATCTTTAGTTTATATTAAAATTCAGGAGGAATGAAAAATGGAATGTAACAAAGTTTTGCATATTTGATAATTACAAAACAATTGCAAAATTATTTAAATGGTCATTATTTATTTTTTATATCACTGGTAAACTCATGTTAAAAAACAGTCTGAAATATTATAAAATCACTAAATGGATAGGAGTGTGATTTTAATGTTGTGATGAACACAAAGCAATAAGTATATAAATGCTTGAATTCAACATATTGTTCTAAGGTGATTGTGTAAGCAACAAAAGCAGAAAAAAAAAGAGATGTTATTATGCAATGGCAATAGATTAAAATCCCATTGGTGGTAAAAAATATTATGTTGACTCTTTGTTACCAGGTACTGAAAGCAACACAAATATTTGAGTTACTAGCTTACCATAAGGGATAAAACTTATTTCACTCAACAACAACAGAATGCCAAGAATTGAATAATTCTTTTTAGGCACTATAATATCATCCAATAAAAATAATATGAATTTTAATCTGAATTTAATGAGTAATTGTTTTTCTTTAAATGCCATGCCCTTTCAGCATGTAGGCAATCATGGCTTTCTACAGATTTCTTTTATTTATTATCTGTGACCTACCCATTTAACTCATAAATATACTGGAAGCATAAAAAAGTAAAACCAAAATACTCATGAAAGAATCTTAAAAAAATTTTATATATATCTCCTAATATGATTTTTTTTATCTATATATTAATATGCTTTTACATAGCAATTTATGTTGTGTAAAGCACAATATAAAAAGTGAGAGAGATGTAGAGAGACAAAAAGTGTGATACAGAGAAGGATTAGAAGGTGGGGCCATCTTTAAATAAAGGCAGTTGTTTGCTAAATCAACTTTCTGGGGGTTTTTTTTTTTTTAATCTTATCTTCACAAATTTGTAAATAGCACTTTGGGGCACCAATTTACAATGAATTCCTAGTTTTTATAGTATTTTATACATTATTCAAAACTTGATAACTTTGTTATCACAGTACTATTGAAAGTGATTTGGACATTTTATTTGGAGAAAATTAGTATATTGAAATAAATATAAGTTTGAGGACATTTTTCGAAAGTTTTGGTAGTGAAATGTAAGTGTAAGAAATATTAATGTGCTGATATTTGAAATGATGCACATCTGAAGTCAAATCAGACAATAGTTTTTTGTTTTGCCACTCTTTTTTGCGAATTTGGAAGCTGAGGAAGGCATTTCTTTAGAATTAGAGGAAATTATCCTCCATCAAAAAATTATTCATGGTCAAGAGAGACATTATATTTTCTGGCTCTGTGGTAAAATGTTTCGTTACCACATAAAATAAACATTACTTTAAAAAATGTTTGACTTACAGTGTCAAATATAATTATTTTCTTAAATAGACTTTAATTTTAGAAAAATAATTTTATAATTACTGTCTATTGAATTTTATTTGAGAATGGGAAGAGGGGATTGTAGACTTTTTTTGAGTCATGTGACTTTGGTAGAAAGAACTTTTATTGCTTTCGGAAGAGTTCCAAAACTAAATTTAATATAACTTGAAAAAAGTTATGTTTTAACTTGTAAGGTCTGTTTATGAAAATATAGCATGTTCAATAAAAGAGATCAGATTGTTCACTTTTGCCTTCTAAGTAAATTGTTTTTTATCCAGGTAGTCTGAAGGACTAAGAAACTGGAAGAAAAAAATTATTTGAATTGAAAAAGTTTAAATTTATTTAATTGAAAAAACTTGTAAAGTTTGATGATGGAAATGTAACTATTTGATAAAGAAAGCAAATAGTGCATTTATAGCTTATAAGAGTTTTATTCCAAATTAGTCTTAAAAAAAAAAAAAAGAGAGAGATTAGACTATTAGAAGAGGTGAATTTATTCCTAAGAAGAGGAATTGTTACCTTTGGTATTGTTGGCTTGTAGAGCTAACGTTTTAATATACAAAGTCATTTGATGTGAATGATTCTGCCTTATTCTTGTTCTTCATTTAAAAGAAGATTTTTTAAAGTAATTAAAGTAGATAATTCTCATAAATAGAACATTATGAGCCCAGGTTAGGTGTGTTTAAATAATTCCTTTGCAGCACAAATAAGAAGAGAAAAAGAAAGAAGTATCCAAAAAAGTTATCCCACTTCCAAAAAATAAGAAAATGTTTTGTAACAAGTTTTTTTGTTTTAAAAAAAAAGATAAAAAAAAACAAAAAAAAAAAACTGAGTTGTCTGTTTAAAGAAAATAAAACCATATTTTAGACAGACAGCAAATATGTAAGTAAACCTTTTTGTTTAATAATTTGTTTTGTTACCTTTAATGCTATATGGAATAATATGCATGCAATCATTATTTTTGTGTTAAAATAAAAATTTATAATCTGTGAATTTATATTTTTGTGTTATATTTTTGAGGTAGATCATATCGATAAAAAGATCATCTGCTTCTTCAATTATTTTTTTTTCTTATAAATGAAGAATGCCCCGAGTACAAAATCAACTGTTTTGCCTCCTTGTGTTTTATCTAAAGAAATTTATTTATCTATTTTTTTTTAAGTATATTAATTTAAGATTATACACAAGTCAAATATTTTTTTCTTCAGTGAGTCAATTTCACCAATTATTAGTAGCCAATTCAATTGTTACTGATCACTCCAAAAGTATGACCTTGCATCAGATTCAGTTTATTTTGAGGAAATTTGTGATATACTCTAACTTGAAGTCAATCAAATTGTCTGAGAGGTTCAAATAAAATTTAACTGCTCCTTCTGAAATTTAAAATAAAAGTACAAAAATTAATGAATACTTTTTATTTATATTATATTTATATGGATAACAAGTGAATTTTGGAAAAATTTAGTAAAAATGAATAGAAATAATTAATAAAGAAATACTCTAGAAATCCTAAATCAGATAAGTTGGTGAAACTAGTAAAGAGACAGCAGGAGTTTAGGGACTGGTTACAAATATTCCAATTTTAAAACCAAAACAGAAAGCAGATAGAAAGAAAGTGAAGAAAGGAAGGAAGAGCTAAAACCGAAAGAGTCTTAGGCTGAATTTTGAAAATTCCTCTCACCAGGTGAAAAAATCATCTTTGTTGATATCTTCAGACCAGAATCGTAAGTGTTGCGGTCACAGATTTCTTTTATCACAAGTAAAAAAAAAAAGAAATTACATAAAAACATCACAAATAAAAAAAATTTAAAAAAACATGCACAATAAAGACTTTTCATAATTTTCTTTCACCTTAAACCAGTATATTTCAAATTAGAAATACAAGTTTTTGAAAGTTCTTTAAAATATTATTAGATAATAAATAAAGGAAGATGCTTTTCCTTTGGATATGGTTAATTACTATACAAATAATATCAGGTCATCTCATAAGTAATGACTGGATTTAGGGTCAGACAAAAATATAACAGAAATTCATAGAAAATTAAAATTTATTCATTAACCTTTAACACCCTGCATTATTCAATACTTTCCTTTCAACTGCATTGTTTTTCAAGGGCTCCTCTACTACACTACTTAATTTCAGTCATGGTCATTTTCATAGCAGGATATGACAACACAACTACAAAATTCAAACATGCTATCATTCATTCATCTGAGTCACTTACAGTGGCAGGATAAAATGTTTGCTTTGCAAACAAAATCACCTCCAGAATGTTAAAGGGTAACATAAGTTTCACCATTATCAGTACCCTCTTTCCAATGATTTATTATTATGCTTTAGTAAACGTAATTTGTTTTCGAAAAAAAGAGAAGGTATTTTCCATGTCCTCATGAGTTTTAAGAAGTAATCCATCAAGGTAATTCTGTACATATTGGAATAATTGGTCATCTGGAGAATAAAGAGATAAAAATCTTTTTCCTCAGATGAAGTCTTCAAATCCTTTTCCAGTTGCTGTGCCAGGCAGTGCCACACTATCAATTTTTAATTTTTTCAAACTAGGCCGGTTTTCTTTGTGTTTAAATGCACAACTTGCTAATATCAGATGTCTGCTGTACTGATTGATAGCAACTGAATATGGATAACACTATTGCAATCTCACCAAATAAAAGAAAAAAGAAACTTTCCATGTATAGATTGTACTTTCTACATTAGTTTATACTAGCAGTAGAGCCCGGCGTTGCCCGGGGATATAACAGTAAGAGATAGATCAAGTATCCACCACCATAAAGACTGAAAAATAAAATTGACAAAGATTATTGTTTAAGGTTGACGGACACACGTCTTAATTAGTTTTTTTTTTTTTTACGAATTGGTCAAACCCAAACTCAAACAAAAACATCGTTTTCAATCGTTATGAGTCTCCCGATTGAATAGAATAATTTTATAAACAATTGTCTTGTAAATGGAATTTTTAAAGCATTCTGAATGTAAAAATAAAGAAAAAAGTGTGCAAGACAATAAGAAACACTACATGCCAAAAAAAAAAAAAAGTGAAGTTTTGTTGAAATCGGTTGAAAAATGTAGGTAGCCTTTCTGTAATTTTTTAGTTTTTACAATTTATGATTTTTACTTATTGAATACAGTAAAAAAATTGCATATTTTGCTTGTGGTGATTCATAATTAGAATTCGATTTGAATATATTTTCCACTTGTTGTTTCTAATACAAAAAATATTAACTTTATTTGGGTTTATTAATTATGATCTAACAAATCTTATTCATTTAGTAGCCTTTCTGTAATAATAATCTTTTATAATTTATGATTTTTATTTATTGAATACAGTAAAAAAATTGGACACCATGTGTATTTAAAGTAGTTTCCCGTTCCGGTTATTGTTTTTAGTTAGGACTTGTGTATGTTTAGATTTCATTATCTTTCCCTAAAGATAAAGAATTTATCCGATGTTTGTATTCGTACAATCAGTAGAGATCGTTAGATTATTATTTAAGGTTGACGGACACGCATGTCTTAATTAGTTTTTTTTTTTTTTATTTTTTATGAATTGGTCAAACCCAAACAAAAACATTGTTTTCAATCGTTATGAGTCTCCCAATTGAATAGAATTTTATTATAAATAATTGTCTTGTAAATGGAATTTTTAAAGCATTCTGAATGTTAAAAATAAAGAAAAAAGTGTGCAAGAGAATAAGAAACACTACCTGCCAAAAAAAAAAAAAAAAAAAAAAAAAAAGTGGAGTTTGGTTTTATCGGCTGAAAAACAGGAAATCCGCTCCCATATTTAAAGGAACCCACACGCACAAACAACCCGATGTGAGTTGTCCCCCTTCCATTTTAACAATGTCTCTTAATTGTGTTTTCAAATTGATTTTGTGCAAAAGCAATTATATTTTTCCCCATTTTTGGCGCTGTTAGAACCACCACAAGGTAATTTTATGTAGTCCTGTGAAGTTTTGTTGAAATCGGTTGAAAAATGTAGGAAATCCGATCCAATATATAAACGTTACAGACACACACACACACAATCTGCATTTTATAATAAGTAAGATTCTTATTTTATCACATGAATATTTCAAGTTGCTTCTGTGCCATTATTACTTTTTTCTGAACTCATAGGTTATTTCATGGCTTTGGTGCTTCATAAACACATCCTTTTTTAGTAGGATCAAGTACCTCTTTTGTAACCTTTGGCAAGGTTTTCAATGATTATGAGAAAACTATTAAAAACTGTTTTAATTCTTTTTTGAAAAAGATGTTTATTCATGCTTGAATGAAAATATTTTAGAATTTAATTTAAACTTCTTGAATGAAAGAAAACTTTCACTATTCCATCAGAAATTTTTTCAACCTCAACAGAAAGTCACATTCAATTCTCTTATTATTATTGTTTCATGTTTTGTGTGGGAGAGGAGAGAAATAAGTACACACTGGTGTATGCTTTCATGTATATAAATTTTACTTACTGTGTTCTTTAGGTGTGATTGCAACTGAGGCTGTCCCCATCTGTCTCCTCTTGGCATCACTAAGTATATCAATAATGAGAGTAACAAATTCTCTAGGGTTGAACCGAGCCAGTTTTTGCCGACCCTTCAGAAAAAGATGAAAGAAATTTAAAAGAAAAAAAATTAAATAAGGGCTGCACAATTTCATTAAATAAATATAATGAAAAAATTACAAAAGGCTACATTCTAAGAAAAACCATGGAAAATTCAGTAACTCCCAAATATTATCTTTAATAATTTTAAAAACAGAATTTCACAGGGTTTTTTTTCTTTTGTGCATTTTGCTAAATTAGGCTATCAACAAATTTCTGACATTCCTAGCTCCTGAAATATTGCATGTACAGATTTGAAACTTGGTAACAATATTTAATGATTACTATAATTACAAAAACACAAACAGCTTAGGTGTGTCTTGTATACTTATAAGGACCTGAAAATGGTCGATATGCTAAAATGCAAAAAAAAAAAAAAAAAAACATTGCCCAAATTGAGAGTTCCTCATATACAAAATATGTTAGAGAACATCCAAAATTAATTGCCTGTCATTTATGGCCTAAATAATTATTTCTATGTAGTAAACATATTCTTTCCTGTTATAGGAATGTCAGTATTACTGTTGGAAAATTTGATCAATTTTTAATATCCTTAAAAAAGAACAACAATAAAAATGTAAATGAAGTTAATATTGTTATTCTACACTTAAAAATCATACAATTTACTTAAAATCTGCAATAATAAAGTGAAATAAATATCTAAAAAGAATTATATGATGTGCTGCATGAACAAATTTCAACTTTTTACAATACAGTTGAAGATTATTTAATTAAAACATTCATCATCACAAATAAAATCAGGGCTTTTCTGAAATTTTCTAATTGACTTTTGTTTGCTAATTTGCAGTTAAGAAAAGATCAAAAATAGAAATTTAAAAAATAAAGACCATCCATTTACACAAACACTATAAGAAAATATGACACCATATCTCTTCAGTTTTTGTTCATATTATAATCTAAAAATTGTAAATTTCTATTTTCTGACTAAATCTAGGAGTCACGTGGATCAGATTTCTCTTATAACTCAATTTCACAAGATTATAAATTGTAAATATAAAAAATAATTCCATTAAAATTATTCTTAAATAGCAAAAAATGCTGAAATATAAAAATGCATACTTTTATAGCTATTTAAAAAGTAATTAAAAATCAATAAAAACATAAATATCTGACAATCAGGGTTATTTATCCCAAATAATATTAATAATAATTCTTCAATTATCTTTCCCTTTTTCAATTTTATTCTAGTCAATGGGAGGTAACTGAGATAAATATTTGCTTGCAAAGTTTAAATGATTGAGACAATTTTACTTTTTGGTGAATGTAGTTTTGATCTTTGAGAATAAATACTCAAGAATTTCACAAGTTGCACTGGTAAAATGGAAATATTAAAAATCAATGACTAGCTATTCAAACACTGGGTGTTTAAAAAAAAAAAAAAAGAAAAAAAAAAGTGAAATCAATATTTAACTCCGTTCAAGCTACAATCCAAACATCATGCATATCTATATCAGAAACCAATATATGCTATTTAAGACAAGTGTTAACCATTAAACTACCCACACCTTTATTTAAAATAAAGAAAAAGTAAAGAGATTCAAATATAATACATGGCTCAAAAATGACTACCTAATTCTTTTGATAATTCACTTTTTTATGATCAAGCAAATAATTTTTTTAACAAAAGACAAATAAAACAAACACAGACATTTTATTATAAGAACGGAAATTTGTAAAACATTTATGGAAGTGTATGAGTAATAAACTTAGAGGATTTAAATTTTTCTTTTTTGTGAGTTGCACCAACATTATTATAATCAATCATAATTATATAATGTGATGGTTGCTTTAGATAGAGAAAAAGTTGTAGGTAATTTTAGAGTAGTTAAGTAGTATTCACGGTTAAGTAAACTCTTTCCTGTTACCTGATCATGGTTAAGATAATTGTGTAATTCACATTAGCACTAGTGGGGAAATATTCCATCCACCCCACAAAAAACAAAAACACGATTTTAGATAAGGATTTCCCAAGTAAGAGAGGTCTATTTCTTGGAAAATAGTGTAATATGTGGCTAGATGATGCTATAAAAGGTTTTGTATTCAGTGTGATATCCAGGAAGCCAGGTACAGGGTTGAGCTGACAAATGATTTCCTAAACATCAAGTGAAGATCACCCCACCCACATGTCATTTAATATGTAAACACTTAATTGACCTAGTAGCACCTGAGATGTGCATGCATAGGAAAGAATCATATGACAGATATATATACACCCACCCCAGAGCAAAAAATGTAAGGTCTATATTTTGAGAAGGCATCCACTGGCTAACAATGATTGACAAAATCCAGGGTATAATAGTAATGTTATGTATGAAAGAGTCAGTCCCATGTTTTCAGTTATAATGTACAATAATAATGTTACAATTGTACAACACCATCTTTATACAACCAGTTAAAACATCTTTTATAAAATATAAATACCTAAATTCATTTCCATTCAAGTTTTTATATATATATATATATATATATATATATATATATATATATATATATATATATATAATTTTCGAAGGTAATGGATATTTATTTATCAATCCAACAGACTTTCTCACCTTCAATGTTATTTCTTTTAGTGGCTACTCATATACTGTTTAATAATTAAATGGCATGTCGATTTAAATATGAGTATCCACTTTAAAATAACATTTAAAGTGATAAAAATATATATCACGAAATACTCACAGACTTATAATTGTGATATATTTTCTTACGGATATAAACACAATATCACAAAAAGAAACCTATTTCCAAAGCAAACATAAAAATTCAGCTAAAAAATGATTTACTGATATTTCATGATATTTCAGAATATTATTGTCTTACTTGATTCCTTGTTGTAGAAAATTCTGGATTCACAGGAAGAAATGGAATTGTAATATTTATAGTTGAGCTTTGCTCATTTGAAGAAACCCAAACTGTAAAATAAGAAAAAACATATCAGTGTGAACAGCTATCTCTCAACACATATCCTATATATTATTCTTCCCAAATCAAAACAAATTTACAAAAATTATATATAATATATATATATATATATATATATATATATATATATATTTTTAATATATTTTCTGTTTATACATTATTTTTATAGATACTATTTATTTAATTTATTTATAAAAATAACAAACAGAAAACATATTAAATAATTGTCACAGTTAATTGATTTCATTATATATATATATATATATATATATATATATGTGTGTGTGTGTGAGAATAAAGATAAAAGGAATACTTATATTAGCCAACACATTTTGCTGGCTGATAAACTTTATCAAGACAGATGTAAGGATTTTTATTTTGTGACAAGTATGTGTGTGTGTGTGTGTGTGTGTGTGTGTGTGTATATATATATATATATATATATAATAAAAAGGCTTAAATACTAATATACCATGGTCATCATTTATTCCATTGGAATTGTAAATATGATCCAATTCATCAGACCTACAAATTCAAAAAGAAAACAGAAAAAACAACTCCGGAAATAAAAAATAGAATTTCGAGAGAATGAAAGTATGAGAGTGTGGGAGAGAGAGATGGGGTGGGGGAAACTAAAACTGAAGGGCATTTACTGAAAGGGCCACTGTGTAATTAAGAAAATTTGCCAAAATTAATATCGACTACAGGTTACAAATCAAAAATAAACATATAAAAAATAAATATAGAGATTATCTAATCTAGCAAGGAACTATATTTTTATGTTCAAAAACACATGCATATACACACATACACAATAACATATACACGTACATACATACATACATACATACAGGTGTTTACTCACATACACACACATATATATATATATATATATATATTCTCATAAACATACATAAATACACACAAACATACATACACACACACATATACATCCATGCACATAAACATATATACATAAAACCTTACATCTCCATACAATTACATGCACCCATCTAAACAAATAAACGATGTATCCCTATATCTGTCTAACTATACATACATACACACCCATATACAGATATATATGAGTACATACATACCAAAACATATAAACACATAATATATATATATATATATATATATATATATATATATATATATATATATACACACTTCTATATATACACACACAGGTACATACATATAAATCAAAATGTAAAATCTAAAAAGTAAAATTTTAAAAAATTTAAAATACATAGCGCATCACATAAACATACATAATGATATATATAGATAAACATAATAGTCATTCCATTAAAATGTCATGCCCAATGTTATTGAACCAAGATAGAACTGACATAAGTGACAACAAAAAAGTGTTTATGTTTTGAATAGTTTCTTATGTCTACATTTAGAAAATATCTCATTACAAAGATTCAGCAACTCATCTTGATTCTATCTTTAATAATAAAAATTTTTTTTGCCATGCACAGATCACACCGATCGCGGAAATTATTAGATGTTCTCTCTCCCCCACCCCTTTTTCTTTTCTTCTCCCTCCCTCTTCTTCTGATCTTTAAGATTAGATCGTCTATTGTGTGTGTATGTCACCACAAAATGTATTAGACATCCGACAACATTCATATTTTTCTCACTTAAACCGTCTTTGACTCACCTCTCTAAAACTTCTCTCTGTTAAGTTTTAATCCCCCACCTTCTCTCGTCTGTTACCCCTCACTTTAGCTCTAACATTCGTCCCATACTCTCATACTTACACTCTCTCTAAATTCTATTTTTTATTTCCGGAGTTGTTTTTTCCGTTTTTCTTTTTGAATTTGTAGGTCTGATGAATTGATCAGAAATATAATTCCAATGGAATAAATGATGACCATGGAATATTAGTGTTTAAGCCTTTTATTATATCCTTACTCTGTCCTGGACATTGAGTTCTACCTGGATTCTATCCTCTTGGAATTTTTTTATTAAAAAAAAAAAAAAAAAAAAAAAAAAAATTATATATATATGTGCATGCATGTATGTATATATATTTATATATTTTGCATATGTATATGTATATTTAACACTAATATTATCAATATATATATATATTTACATACACACAAGAGCAAAAATGTTATTGGCTTTTCAAAAGTTTTTGGTATCAGTGTGTAGAAAAGTCAGGCAGGTTCATAGGTGTGAGGTGATATAGTTCAATGCCTAACAAACGAAAGTGAATAGGAGGTTTTTTTTTTTTCTCTTTTTATGTTTCATATAGAAAAATATATTTTTATTTTTGTGCTTGCATATCTCAGTAAGCTTCCCTGATCATTGAGATTGTCCCAGCAAAAGGAAGTTAACCCCAGATTTCTCATTGCACTCATGTATGATTCTAACAAGATACCAAATGTTGAGCTAGTGATGGTCCATATCTTGGAATCAATTTGGGCATTCATTTAGGAGATAATTCTTATAGTACTCACCCACTCTCTCTCTCATCTTTATCCATTCCATTGAAAATTAATCTGATAAAATGAAATTACTAACTAAAGTTGGAAACGGCTTTTTTTCTTTTTTTTTTTTTTTTTAAAAAAAAAAAAACACAGGCAACTTGTCCCTCATTGTAAGCAATAAATCAAGAAAAGCAACTTACTTTCATCATTTTCTCGTCTGTCAACTTCATCATAAACATCCATGGCAAGTTCTTCAAATAAATTGTTTGGAAGCTGAAAATTATTAAAAAGAGAAAAAGTTAAATTTTGCAATTTGGTTTTCAAACAGAAATCATTGACATTATCTGTAATGAAAACTATGATATAAAAAATGCTTTTGCATTAGTAGGTAAGTGAAAGACATTATGTTAAGACATTAAGAAATTTTGTATTGAGCCTTCTTGAAACAAAATGCATCACTAAGTTTTCCATTTTATCATAACTTAGCAATTATCTTTATTATAACTAACAATGAATAGTCATAGTTTTCCAAGCATAATTTGTTATGATATTAAGAATTACTTTGATAAATATGTTTGTTCTCACTATGACTACTACAAATACATCCACTTAGGTATAAGAACCTATCATATATTCATTAATTTGGGGGCCATCATTGTGCTTTGCTATTTACCACCACCCCATTTTTCCAAACTCAAAGAGATCAGAATATGTTCATGTTTATGGAGAATCAATCAATCCTCTCTATCACCTACTTAGAATAGAGGGTTACAATTTGTTCTTGAAACTGTACATTGTGCTGTGTTTTGACTCCTCCCTTCATACCTCATTTTATTTTATTTGTTACCCTGCCATTTTTCCTTTTTGAACCATTTGAATCAAAACCCCCTTTAAAAAAAAAACGTGTCTAAAGATTTTTTTCTACTTCTTTGTTAATGGAAACAGTATAGTTTTTTCTTGTAGAAGAAGGCATCAATCATTTCTACACTATAATTCAAAGAAATTCAGATGGTAGAAAAAAATACTAAAAAGATTTGCTTTGTATAGTCTGAATGATACCTGAGAAAGTGATGTTCATTGTCACTTCCCATAATGCTAACCAATATATATAAAATTTTTAGATATATTTTAAAACTTCAAGTTCAGTGATGATGATAGTATTGTGATATTTATAAATATTACCTGTGTTTTCTCTTCTTACGGATTTTTGTTAGTTTGGCAGAAACATACATAATGTTTGATATACCATGTGTAAATATTCTTTGATGATACAAACACATCATCATAATCAAAATACTTCAAATATCACAGATATTACTTGACCCCAACACAACTTAAAACTGCTGTTTCACAGCAGTGTTTAATGACTCATGTGAGGGTGAATAGAACCCCAAGGAGGTTTGACAGCAGTCAATGAATAGAGTTATGCAGAAAGGTCTAGTGCTAACACTACCAGCAATGATATCCCAAATTTCCGGGATCTGGTTCTATAAAGGCAGATAATCTTTATGAACCTATTCTACTTATTTTCTTTTCAATCTGAGAATGGAAACATATCACAAAAGAATTAATCAAATCAAAAATAATTAAACCATTTTGATAATAGAAAACATTTATTTATTAAGATATTCTGTTCTCAACATATTTCTGTTCAGAAGTATGATGCTTTTTGACTCTAGTGTCATCAGCTATGTTATGGTTTCTTAGTTATATTTGAACTGAATGGCTGTAGCCCCAAAGATCCAATGGAAGACCTATCAAAATTATGACACATTTTTAACTTCAAGATGATTTCTTTTATCAGAATAAATTATGCCCATCACAGAAAACTATATTTCAGCTTCCACAGAAATTACAACAATGGTGTTAATTATATCTTTACCTATTATATATTGGCTACTAATATATAAAATTATTTTTGAATAATCCAACAACCAGTTCACTAAGCTTTTATAATTTTAAGAATCAGTTTGTGCAAACTGGTAGGATACCACCACCGACTACCAGTTTTATAGTGTTATATTGCAGTTTATGTGCCAATGTAATGGTAGATAATAAATACTTAGTAAGAGGAACATGATTTCTGGAGAAATCTCTAACATTCAGAAGAAAGTGAATCAAATATGGATTACCTACATTGATTTTGAGAGTTATTGTCAGATTTGAAAATTGTTTAATTTTGGAGGAAAGACTGAAGATCAGAAAATTATAATTGAAAGCTGATTGCCAACTTGATTAAATATTGTTAATCTACAAGTATGTTTGCCAGAATTAACATCTTAATTTGATCAGTAAGCTTTAAAACTGAAAGAAATTTAAATATAACCTTTTCTGTTGAAGTAAAACACAATTTAATAATTAAGCATTAAGATTTTAACAAATTGTTTCAACATTTGCTCTTATCCTTATTCATTAAATCCACATTACCTATATTTAAAAAAACAAAAAGAACTCCCACCATATACTCCAATGGTATGATACACAAATGCTCTTGTTTGACACACTAGTTCCATGCTAACCCCACAATAAGATATATATAATTATAAATGATTAAATTAGGATTACAAATCAAAATAATGTGAAAATATAAAAATGTAGAGATAAATCAGCAGTTAGATAGTATTTTTCTCTTAAATATTCTTTGCCAAATTCTCAGTGATTGTTTGGCACAGAAGTGTTATATAGTGGTAAATACAATTTGCTGAATTATCCTGTATTTCATTATGCTTTTAATTCTAGTTGTCAACTATTTTGCTTAAAATTGCTTGTAGAATTAAAACAACAATGTGCAGCAAAATAAAATGTTTACATACTGCTTGGAGCATTTTCTTTGCTTCTTTTGCCAATTCAGAAATATCTAGACTGCTGCAAAAATAAAAATAAGAAAAATGTCCGTAAAAGTAACATAGATAATGATTGATATCACAGCTCTGTTTTTTTAGATTACTATTAAGAAAAATGGGAAAAAAAGAGAAAAGATTTCAAATTTAATTCTTTTTATGTATAAAATATATTAGCCTTAGTAATTCAACATTAACATTTTACAAATCATACTCCTATATTAATGGTATCATGGCATCATACAAACTTACATCACCATTTTTGAAGTTCTTTCATTTGTTGTTAAATTAAATAATTGAGTAATTTTCTGCAAAACAGATTAGGAATGCATACACATTTTTTTTTTTTTTTTTTTTACAATAGACTTTATAATTGCATTACCCGATATTCTCAAATGATCACCCATATTATGAACAGGCTAACAATTGCTTAACTCCAACAACTGAATGAGAAATAATAACTTAATATAATATTAAGTATTAATTTATGCAACAAACATTCAATCAAACAGTTTTTTTAATATAATCTTGAATTTTAGGGAATTTTTTTATTCTTATATTTTAAAAATAATCTGACTGTTTTATGAATAGGTATTAAATCAATTTCAAATTTGACAGAGGAGATTTATTTTAATGTAAATAAAAGTAAATAAAGCTCTACTAATTCGATATTCTGCACTAGTATATGAAGCTGCTACTAATATTTTTTTATGTACAATTGACTGGGCTGAGAATTTCAAGATGAGTTATCACTTTTATGAAAAAATAAAATGTCTCAAGTTTTTTTAGGTAATTTGTTTATATAAAATTTTATTTATTTTTTATTTTATCTATTTATTATATTTGAAATTAAAACAGTATAAAATAATATATTTAATGCTAATATTTTTTAAGTAAATATTAAATTGTTCAATTATTTGAAGATTATGAGTACAGTTCAAAAAGTTCAAATCCAAATGCAAATCTAGAACCTTTTCCCTCCTGTTTGGAGGAAACCCTCTCTTGTTGACCTCCACCACTTCCTGTCTCTGGCCATACCAGCCATGTGAAGCCAAGTTATTGGGTCAAATCATCACAACATTTGACTTCCCTCTAGTTTTCTTTTCCACTGCCATTGTTGCTCTAATAGTCCACTTGTTGTCTCTGAGATGAGGGACATGGAATCCAGCTGTTGCTCTTCTTGTCATGTAAGGTGATGCAGAGCATGATTTTCTCCATTTTAAGTTCGGACACTGCAACAGTGGTAGTGTTTAGTGCCCACCTCTCAAGTCATCACCAGTAAAATATATTCATTAAACAACTTAGTCCAAAAAGAGGAAGTTATACATTTCTCAGCAAATTGACATTTGAAATTGCACCAAAATTTGTAAAATAGACAGAAACTATGAAGTATATTTTCTCAATATTAGAATTATAATCCTAATCATGCCAGCTTTAAATAATCAAAAATGAGAGTGAGAGAGCAATCAAAAACCTCCCTTTTCATCACTTAATTTTTCAAGCTAATTAATTAAATATAATTTCTCTTGTTTTAAAAGATGCTTCATTTCAAAAGTAAGGAAGATGTTAGTCTGAATAGAATTGCCAAAGTTTAATGTAATGACTTTTTAAAATGATAAACAGATATTCAGACATTTTCACAAAAGAATATCAAGCTTAATTTTGAAATCAACACATTCACTCTTAATTAAAAACAGTAAAAAAAAATAAAAAAATAAAAAAAAACAATTGTCTTATTTATAATAGTTATAAACAAAATTCAAAAATACTTAAGGCCACAAAATTTAAGAAAAAACTGCATCTATTTATTTTTGTCTTTATGATCTAAGATGATATGCTATGAAATAGGAGAATGCATGCCTCATCTTTATACTTGTTTTGGGTTTGAAATATCTGAATAAATTTCAGCCAAATAAATTTTAGGAATGATTAGTTCTTCAATATTGAAGAAGAATATCAAAATCTTGTTTTACATATATCAGCAACATTTCTGCTTAAAAAATAAACAAACAGAAATTCACTTTCATACCTTTGACTTCATTGCAAGTATTACACTTCTTCATACATTTCTGATTAGAAAGGTAAGAAATGCTATTGTTAGTGTTGTGAATATTATTTTTATGCCAACACTTGAATAATATCTGGTTTAATTTTACAAATTTTTTCCTGTTTTATTTTTAGTATTGTCCAAAATGTTTTTTTTTGGGGGGGGGTGCTATCAAAAGGTCTATAAGAATAAAAGGAAACTTTTCATCAAAATTAAATTACTTAATGTATGACTATATTCTAGAATCTTAACTTTCTTTATGTGTTATATGCAAACATTGTAGAAATGTATTGCTCATTTGGTTGAGTTGTATAAACATGGATTTTTTTCTTTATTACTGAACTGATATGTTATGAAATATAATTCATTTAAGACAAGAATTTCTATAACAGTAACAATAAAAAATGTAAATGAAGTTAGAGTTTACACTTAAAAATCATGTAATATATTTTATAACCTAAAAGATCATTTCTATGTAGTAAACATATTCTTTCCTATTATAGGAATGTCAGTATTACTGTTGGAAAATTTGATCAATTTTTAATATCCTTAAAAAAGAACACAACAATAAAAATGTAAATGAAGTTAATATTGTTATTCTACACTTAAAAATCATGCAATTTACTCGCAAAATCTGCAATAATAAAGTGAAATAAATATCTAAAAAGAATTATATGATGTGCTGCATGAACAAATTTCAACTTTTACAATACAGTTGAAGATTATTTAATTAAAAACATTCATCATCACAAATAAAATCAGGGCTTTTCTGAAATTTTCTAATTGACTTTTGTTTGCTAATTTGCAGTTAAGAAAAGATCAAAAATAGAAATTTAAAAAATAAAGACCATCCATTTACACAAACACTATAAGAAAATATGACACCATATCTCTTCAGTTTTTGTTCATATTATAATCTAAAATTGTAAATTTCTATTTTCTGACTAAATCTAGGAGTCACGTGGATCAGATTTCTCTTATAACTCAATTTCACAAGATTATAAATTGTAAATATAAAAAATAATTCCATTAAAATTATTCTTAAATAGCAAAAAATGCTGAAATATAAAAATGCATACTTTTATAGCTATTTAAAAGTAATTAAAATCAATAAAAACATAAATATCTGACAATCAGGGTTATTTATCCCAAATAATATAATAATAATTCTTCAATTATCTTTCCCTTTTTCAATTTTATTCTAGTCAATGGGAGGTAACTGAGATAAATATTTGCTTGCAAAGTTTAAATGATTGAGACAATTTTACTTTTTGGTGAATGTAGTTTTGATCTTTGAGAATAAATACTCAAGAATTTCACAAGTTGCACTGGTAAAATGGAAATATTAAAAATCAATGACCAGGTATTCAAACACTGGGTGTTTTAAAAAAAAAAAAAAAAAAAAAAAAAAAATCAATATTTTTCTCCATACAAGCTACACTGCAAACATCATGCATATCTATCAGAAACCAATCTATGCTATTTAAGACAACAAATGTAAGACAATGAAAGACAAAAGAGACGCGCTTGAAGAGAAAAAAAAAAGGCATTCAAGATTAAACATATGCTGCATTTCCAAAAAATAAATATCAATACTTAGATCATGTCATTTTGAAAACACCTTTAAAAAAAAAAAAAAAAAAAAAAAAATTAGAAATTACAATAAAACTTAAAAGATCACAGAAAATAGATCACTTTAATTTTTAATTAATATCTTTAATTTTTATTCATTTCTGTTTAATAATTTTTACCTTGTTTGACTATTAATTGTATGTGGATTGCTTATCAGTCATAAATGTGTACTTTTATCATGCAATTTTGTAATTTTCATATTTACTAACCTCAAGAAACTTCATACTGTCAATTTTTTTAGAAAAGCATTTTTATTAAGTGACATAATCTAAATATTAAACAAAGTGAAAAGGATACATGCATTTTTCAGAAAAAATATAAACATGGATAAAAAAATAAAAGTGATAATAGGAAGCCATGGGAAGATAATCTACGGAAACAGCATCTCTATCAGAGTGAAGTTTAAAAAGGAAAGGTAAAACTGAACACTTGGGAAGAGTCATTTCAGATATATTTTGATAGCAATGACACAGGGCTAGATGAAACAATGATGAGCTGGATTTTGATGTCCACTGAATATATTATTTTCAGATATTTTAAAATAAAATCCCAAATTTAAAATTTATTAATTTAAAAATGTTGTCAAGAATCCTAAACAAAGGACAGAAAAGGAAACAGACAGATAAGGGTTTAAAGGAAAAGGTAGTTCACATCAGTCACTGTATAATACTGACAATGAATTGGATGCTCCTAATGTTGATATTTTCTTCACTACACCCTCAACTAAAACAGCATAACACTGGGAATATAATAAATACATTCTTTCATATCCACCTTGTTTAAACTTACAAAATGTCAATATAATGCCATCTATTATCAAATATTATATCACTTTCATTCCTGCCACATAGTGAAATTCAAATGTAAACTTCACCACATCCAGTATCAATATATTTTTTATAATTCTCTTTCCCCTCCCCCACTGCCAGATTTTGCTCAAAATGTTGGTGTACACAGTCTTTAAAATATCACCCTCTCCAAATAATCAAATATTTAATCTCCTTTCCACCAGTTTTTTGTTGCATGTTTATCTACAACTAGAGATATTAAAGAAAATTAACATCATGAACATTTTTAAATAACCTTCAAGTTAGCAGTCAGTCTACCTACTACTTGAGATTTAATCTTGTATGGTAAAATTAAATTTGTACTTTACAAGCTAACCAAAAAAAAAATACTTCAAACTAATTCCTCAGAGATGTTTCAGATGTGAAAAATATATAATATCTAATTTCAACAATTCTATGTTCACAAATGAACAGATTAAAATTGTAACCCATTAAATGTAGATGCCAAGAATGTTTGTCATTGCAGTTCTTGGGCTCAACTACAAATGATAGAAATTTCTGCTACAATTAATGGGTCAATGCTAAAAAGAATTTTTTACACCGTCCATGAATTTTTTAATATGGAACAATATTTATGTCAGCAGAAATTATCTATATAAAATTTTGTCATCTGAAAATATTTTAGTTTGTTTCAAGACAATCTCAAAGTAAAGTTTGTAAAGTTCAATTAGTAAAAAAGTAAAAAAAGGTTTGTTTTAAATAATCATAGCAATTCTTTAATTTAGAATTTATTATCTTGCCAATCTTTGAGTCAGTTTTTTATATGGTCAGTAGATTTTTATATATATATATATATATATATATATATATATATATATTAGTGTATTGGAGCAGCAGATCATTATTAAAACATTAAATATAACAGACAATGAATGTCTATTATGTCTGATCATGAGCCATTCTAATGTTCAAATGTTTGCTTTAATTTCTGGTGAAAATAAAGACAAAAATTGTCCAACATTTGGATATTTTTTTTTTATTACATGAGCCATCCCAAAAGTGATTAAACAGACATGAATAACAAAGATATCCACCGTCAAAGATGATATTTTGTTATTTTGAAATAGAAATGCTATGACGTCATAGAACTGGATCTTGAACTACGATCTGTGTCTGCTATTCCACGACCATTATTGTCACGTAGCAATTTTCTTTGTCAAAATAACAAAATATCATCTTTGACTGTGGATATCTTTGATTCATGTTTGTATAACCACTCTGAGGATTGCTCATGTGACTAACTTAAAAAAAAAAATATCCAAATGTTGGACAATTTTTGTCTTTAATTTCACCAGGAATTAAAGCAAACATTCGAACATTAGAACAGCTCATGATCAAACATAATAGACATTCATTGTTTGTTATATTTAATAATATATGCTTATATATAAATAAAATGAAATTATGATTTGCACATAAAAGAAGCTCCTCAAGTTTTTATTTACATACATTATTTTTCATATATTGCTTCTAACTCAAAGTATGAATTTAAAAATATAATTTCATATAACATAATGTTGTATAGAAAGCCTTTACAGATGAAGACCCTGAAGTCTGGCATGGTTTTTATAACCACTAACCCCAGCAATACTTCACAATATTCTATTGGTTTTCCATCACAGTATGGGAATACCAATGTAAATACAGATTACTTTATATTGGGGGTCTCTCTATATATTTCCTCTTTTCTGATGTATTTATCCAAATAATTTATTCAAATAATCTGACTTAGTGATTAAATGTTACTCTCCCACCACTTAAATTCATAATTCAGATATGTCTCTTCTATTCTTTCTTACAGATTGCTATAATTTTCAGTTTATGTTTACAAGTTCCTTAAAAGGAAACATTAATTCATTGATTTGAATATTGTATAACAATATCTCAACTAGAAAGGAATTCAAAATTTACTGTTAATATCCAAATCTCTATAACCATCACAAGTTAGCCTCTTTTTCACATCTCTTACCTGCAAGTAAGAAACAAAAGGATCCCACGTGCTTTTATTTGATATTGATCTCAGTTTGGTAGTTGAATTTTCCTTTATTTTAGTTACCTCCCTTTGAAAAGGACACGCTCGCTCGCTGTATCTATCTAAAGGTTTTTTTTTTTTTTTGGTTTTTGTTTTACACAGGTCACCAAAATTAGGGTCTAAATTTCAAATTTGGATTTCAAACTTAAACAAAAAGCAATCAGTTTTTCTTGAATATTTATAATGATTAAAAATATGCTCAAACATATTTTTATTCAAAGGCTTTTGGTGTTTGGCTGTGCAAAATATACCTGAACAAATGAAGACAAAAAGTAAATTAATTCAAAAGATAAAGAAATTAAAGTAATCAAATATGAAAATAAAAATAGACAAGATTTAATCCCATTTCTTTAAATATATAAACACTGAAGTAAATTATGATTTAAAATACAACTTTAACAAAGAAGAATAAAGGTTATTTATTTTCATTATAATAATTTAAGAGAGTTCTTTAGAAGAGAAAAATGTCATTAATTTAAATTTTGGTTATAAACATGAGTAACATTTTCTTCAATGTCTAAAATGGAACAGACTCCAAACACTGAACAATCTATCACCCCCAAAGGTTTTTATTCGAATTAAATATAAATTTACACAACATAATTTTCTCAAGAAATAATATTTTTCTATAACCTTCCAGAATAACATTCTTGGAGAAAGAGAACAGCTAACATGCTAAGCTGAAATTTATCATGACTAGACATAACAAAAAATGGGATGACAGACACAATGAAGGGTTGAAACGATGGATGACGTGCTGGGTTAAAAATTAAAGACGAATAACAGGTAAATGAATGACAAACATCAGGATAGACATCAGGTGATATCAACAGAGAGATCAGTGGTTCCCAACCTTCTTAAATAATTAAAGCTAATTTTCCTAGTATTTTAGGCAAATATTCTGGTTGGACATTGTGTTGAAAATTAGTAAAACAACATTGGTCAGCACACCTTTTTTTCTCCCAGTTTGCTTTAGTAATATACAAAATGTTAAAAACTTGAAGGTGAAAGATTTTAGGATCAAATAAGAAAATGATGACCTTTCTGATATCACTCAAGGAGTCACGTGGCACAAAGTAGTATTTCTTTTAGGATAGGCTAATTTTTTCTCTTATGTGTTCTTATAGTTAATATACTAAATGACATTATTTTGAAAACCTAATAACACCTAATCTTAAATTTAATTAGCCAGAGTGTCAAAAAGAGAGAGAGAGAGAGACAGACAGACAAAACATTCCCAACATATGACAACTCAGGAATAAGTCTCAACTAACAACCTCATCCATTTTTTTTTTTTTTCAATTTTTATTTGAGAAATATTAACATTATTTTGCAACAAACATTTACTTGCACCACAGTCAAACTAACTAACATTAACAATAGGAAATTTTACAAACTGTATAAACAGCTGCACCAGTACAATGAACAATATGACATGTGAAAATGGTGACAAAACAAATGTGACAAAAGTAAATGGAAGAAAAAGATGAGGATGTTAGTATGAACAGATTTATGAGCTGTAATGATCCGACTGAAATGATATTATCACAGCCAAAAGGAGAAAAAAAAATGGCAGTTTGTAAATTTTATGTCATCAATAATAATAATATATATATATATATATATATATATATATATATATATATATATCCAAGGACGTTTTTGAAATGCTTGCACCTAACATTTCAACACCAAGAAAATAAGAAGCCAAATAACTAGCAAAAAATTAGTTTATTAGATCATAAACAACAACACTAACTCCTTAGAACCAACCCAGTAGAAAAAGATTCAGGGACTCAAGGTTGAGAACCACCGACTTAGCTGGAGAGACAGAGATTCTTACTTTAAAATTCTAGTGGACAATTTTTTTTCTCTCTCTTTTTTAATTTTTGACTTTTTTTTTTTTAATTTTTCATGATTTTCAGCAAGTTTACCTTTAAGACATATGGCTTGAAAAATCTTTCATATTTTAATTTTGAAAGGCATTCAATAAATTTTGAGCAGTATAATGATATTCATGGCTATGTAGAAAGAAAATGTACAGGTTTTAGAGAAAGAAAAAAATTGTTTAAAATGTCAATTACACTCCTTTCAGGAAATATAGCAGATTAAAGATTAAAAATAAGTAAAAATTGTTTTTAGCATCAGTTCCTTTTATACTGACAAAATATATTTTGTTAGGCTTTGTCAGCTCATTTACAATAATATATTCAATACCAAATTTCTTTGCTAAATCATAATATAACTATCAAAGTGATTTTTCAGATTTTTACTTTTGTTATAAAAATAAAACAATTCTTAGATTTATGATTAAAAAGACTATTTTGCTAAGTTATGCTTAAAATATAAAGCAAAAAATAACTTAAAATAGGTTTCAGGAGGTAAAGGAATTTTTAAATTATATCAAAAAAATATTGAAAATAAATAAAAAAGAAAATTCTACAACCTGTTTTTAATTAATTGTCCTTAAAAATTTATTTTTCTTAATTACTCATTTTTTCAAAAGTTTATGAACATTCAGATGAAATAACCTGAAATACCATTTTCTACAAATCAAAATATAAAGCATGTACTCAAAAATTAAAAATCTTTTCTATTCAACTTTATGCCATAAAGATAAACTTGCTATAAGAGTTTTTCCCCTTTTTTCTGATTTTCTTTGTGATCTTGATGTTACTTACGTCGAACTACAATTATGTAATCCACATTTTTGGCCAGGACAGTTAGGTGGGTAAAGGCCGTGATTTTGCATCTGTTTCATCATCACCCCTCGTCGTAAGGAGTTGGCCGCGTTGTGTTGTCTATGGAAGAGGGAAGGTGCCACATTAACACAAAACTCAGTAGTTCCAGATTATTCCTGATACGCTATTATTATCCATATACATTCTAAAAGTTTGTCAGCTTTTTCAACATTGTCGTAATATAGATACCCAAATAAATGACATTTCTGACTTAAATGGAGCCTCTGAGTGTAGCTTATTGATTAAAACATTGATTTTTCAATTTCTTTAATGCCAATGAACTGGATACCTTTCAAAGCTTATTACAATACAAAAGTAAAATAAATCCAAATTTCACTTAAGAGCCTAATAATTAATAATCTATATAACCTACTACACTCAAAGGCACCTGCAATTACATATTCAACTAAATTCCTTAATGCTGATGACAACAGATGAAAAAGAAGCAACTCCGTTAACTTAGCTTTCTTAACTTACCTTGTCTACAAGAGAAATAATTAGATTATCTCCTTTGCAGCATGATGAAAGTGATGGAGAGAAAGAAAATGGTAGTGGGGAAAAGTACGCTATTATTGTGCTTATTCTGCCCCTTTAGGGCACCATCAGCTAGAAATGGTCAATACTTATGTTAATGTCATTATTAAAAGCTATAAATATGTGAGTTGTTTAACCAGACTGTCCTTTTGTAGACAGTTTATCCATATCATGTATTACTATCAATTAAACCAATCTGAGAGTAAATAATGACCATCAGTAATGGGAAATGAAAAATAAAAATCCCATCTGTAATATGTACACAGATCATACATTTTTGAGCAGTGATGAATGCTTAAATGTCTCTTCTAACAAGAAATTAACCACCAATATAACTGATACATCAGTGCCTCCCCCACCCCAAGAAGAATCCTATACAATAATGGTGTTAGTGCTCATTTAAAAAAAAAAAAAATCATTTAATAGTACTAAAAAAAGAAAACTAAAGCATCTAGCAATAGAATACAATGAAACTTTCACAAAATGAAGATCTAAATCCAACCTTTTTTTTTTTTTTTTTTTTTTTACAAATCGAAGTTTGTGTCATTGCTGAATTAGAGTTAAATTTCTGTTGTTCAGCTGATTATCCCAGAAAAAAAAACAATTACACTATTGAAAAGGCTAATAATACTTTACAAAGGATAATAATTTACTTTAATATGCAGAATTAGGTGAACAAAGTTGATACTTAGTTGTGATTTTCATTCTTAAATAATTATATATATATATATATATATATATATATATATATATATATTCCTTTTAAAATTCAAACATATTGGTAAAAATGCAATGGGGTCCTATCTTTTATTATTTATACAATTATTGTACCTCATGACCAAAAAAATTCTATTTTAAAAAAAAAAAAAAAAAGTATGGCACCATGCTTAATTTAAACCTGAAAAAAAAGTAAAGACCTTTTTTGTAAAAGTCGATTGAAATATCTCAATACATCTACACACCATACATTATTGAAATAAGCAAATAGCAAGCAGTTAGTAATAGAGTGGTTCAGCATTTCTTCTTGAATATTCTTTATGTGGGAATTATAGTCAATCAAGTTAATTAAAGCATGCATACCATTAATTATAGAAAATACCACTTTGTCCCATAATAATTGCTACATTTGCATAAACATTTCATTTATTAAATGTAATAATTATTATGGAACAAAAGTAGAAAAATTTTAATATAGTTAAAACTTTTTACTAAAATTGTATTTCTGATAGAGTGAATCAAGAGTTGTTAACATTTCAAAGAAATCAGAGACTTTCAGAAAACAGGAAAATAAAATATATAGGAAATAGATTAAGCTTACAAAAATTACAAAAGTTTTCTCAAACATTCCTGCCAGATAGCTTCAGTGATTGGCATGTTAACCAAAATGCAACACAATTTTAATGACATTCAGAAATGTCTGAAAGCAAATCATCCCAAACCTATAGATGAGACTTTAGCTAAAATTCTCAGGAGTTTCACAATGGCACAGAACTCAACTTATAATCAATAATGCCCTTTCAATGTTCTATAAGGAAATCCTACCAAATTCCAAAAGATCTTTATTACATTAATAAGGATCTTTTGGAAACTGAAGAGACAAAATGAAAATGAATTTAAAATAAACAAAAACTAAATAAGTCAAATCAATTATGTCTAAATTAAAGCAGTCACATTTTATGTGGGAAAAAAACAAAGTTAAAGTGTATTAATGAACTTTCAAAGACTGAATCAAATTTTTACCATCAGCCATAGTCACCTTCAGGTTATCATTCATTCTCTAGAGAATTCTCTGTATGAATAAACAATTGTATGAAAGACTACATAAAAAAAATACCCTAAAGTAATTCAAAAAGATAAATATTTCTGGGAAGATATAATTATGAAGTTGTCTAAAAGATAGCACAAAAAAGTAAAACAAAACTGTATTTTATTTTATTAAAGTTAATGTTAAAAATAAAATACATCTTATGTTTACTTAATACATCAAACAAAATATATTCACCTTGTAGTGGTTTAATTTCAATATTTTACTCCTCTTGTGACTATATTGGGGCAGCAATTTAAGAAATGGTCTGATCGATTCATTCATTTTCTATGGCTTATCAACCTTTTGGAAGTTATTTAAAGCCGGAAAACATTTTTACATTTTAAGATTATTTTTTTCAGATAATAATGATTTAGTGATACAAGTCTTACTAATTAATCCATAGGTTGGGAGAGAAGAGGTGGATTCATACTTTTCCCAAGAGTATTCATGCATAAGTGAATATAACAAACCCAACTGGAATTGGAACTTGGCTCTCAGATTAACAATTTGGAGCCATTATCCATTACACCACCTGTACATCTAAGCTTACAGCATCTGGTATTCCCAAGTGGTCACCCATCTAGGTATTGACCAAGTTTGACATTGCTTAACTTCAGTGATCAGAAAGGACCCAGGATTTCAATGTGATGTGGCTGTAAGCTGAAGATATCAAAATATTTGTTAAAATGCAGAACTTTGAAGCATCTAAGCTGCTGAAAAGAAAAAAAAATGTGGTTATTGCTTTAGTTATAAGAAGAAAATAAATGGACCTTAAATTAACAAAAACTGATGCAGATTTCCAAAGCAGATTTCTTTGTACTTTAAAATATTCAGAGTCTCTTATGTCATTTAGCAGTTAAAAGTAAGAACAGATATCAGTAGTTCTAAGCAAATTATGATAATTCTCATTGATCCAGTTGTAGAATACACAAATATAAAATGAACATTTCACAGAGCACACAGTATGATACTTTGGTCCTAGACAGAGTACACAGATTCATATATAAATAATCCTGTCATTTATTTTATGATCACTAAGGTAAGTAAACCTTATCAATCCAATGACCAAAATCAATATTAGCCCTCTTCAGTTCAATTATTGGATCATAGGGTTGAAAGTTAAGAAACTTTTGACAGTACTTAAAATCACAAGTTCTTCAAGTATATAACAGTTTTAAAAATAAGGCAAAGATCTTTATCTCAAGAGAGTCAGTCTTGTACAATTAAATTCCAAGATATACATCTTTGTAATTTCTAAGTACAGTTATAATTCTCTTTAAGGTCAATGCTTATCATGAAATTAGGTGAGAGACTTTTAAAGGATTATCATTACTGTTCTCTCCTTATATTTACAAGATGACAACTTCTAAGAGAAATCAGAAAAATGGTGTTTCTAAAAATGAATAACAAGCAATTAAAATCAATACCATTTCTCTAATTCCACTAATTTCCGAGACTATTTGACACTTCTTTTTCTTTTTAATCATTTCACCCGAAGCAAAGCAGTAAAGGCACTAAGACACAAGTGGTTACTGTGGAAAAATAAGAAAAAGAAAAACATTAAGGAGAGAGAACAATAAAAGAAGAGGAATCAATAAGACTGAAAATTTAAATTTTTAAAGATCAAAGTTGGCAGGAAAGCATGAAGCTGTATGAGAATTCCATAAGCAAGAAATATGAAAGAAGAAACTGTTAACATAAAACTTACAGTTGCACCTAGTTAATTCAAATGTAAATTGATGAGACCCTGTGGCCAATCAAGTATTGTGCTTAAATTCATAAAGTCTTGGTATCATAGAAGAATGTTCATCAGAACAATTACCATGAAAGTATTTATAGAAAAGGCACAGAGAAGTTACATTATGGTTATGGGAAAGTGACTGAAGCCAAGATGTCAGACTAGGACCAATAACATTGTGGATTGTTCTTTGGATTTTATCAAGAATCTCTAAATGTATAACAGAAGCATCAGACCAGATGTGGTAGCAACATTCAAAGCAAGTACGAATGGTAGACTTATAAATATGTAAGATAGATTCTGGCAAGAAAGATTGCCTAGCACAACACACTGGACCAACATTTTAGCAGCAGACCTGGCAATTGATTCAATATACTCTTTCCATTTTATGTCAACTGAGAATATTAGCCCAAGAAGATGCAAAGAGTCATTCACCTAGTTTAGCATCAGCTATGCTGATGGAAGACAGAAAAGAGTTTCTGACACTATTAATAGAGAGAAGTTTAATTTTGTAGGTATTAAAATTAACAAGCCATTCCTTGCCCCAGTTAAAAAAAGACTGTAGTTCATTTTTGAGAGCAGTTGCCAATTTCACATTATTGAACGAATCAAATTTACTATTGAGTAAATAATTGTGCCATCAGCATAGATATAGAGTTGAGAATTGATGCCATCAGAAACGTCATTGATAAAAATTAGGAACAAAGTAAGTTCAAGGATAGAGCCCTGGAGAATACCTGCATCAATACAAAAAGATCTAGAAGAGTGACCATTCAGGACAACACAACTTTCCTTTCACCAGTTGATAAGAAAGACTGAATCAGTTCAAAAATTTGCATAACCTTTTAACTTGTGAAGAAGACTGGTATGCCAAACCTGATCAAATGCTTTTAAGGTATCCAAAGCAACAGCTGATCTTCAGCATTCTTATGTAAAGCTTGATACTCTTTCAGCAGTGATCATTAATACATCAGCATTTGACCTAGAGAAGTAAAAGTCATATTACTTGTCTGAAAGAAGGCCTTGCGATGTGAGATGCTTAACCAATTCAGTTGATTAGGACCTTTAGTAGTTTGCCAAAAAGTGATAATAGTTAAAAAGATCAGATTGTTCACCTGTGTTCTTAAAGACTGGAAATTCCCACTAGCCACAGTAAGTCTAAGCGATAAATATAGTTGTTAAAATTAAGAGATTCACTGCCAAAATTGAACAAAAAATAATTTCAAACTTTTCATTATTAACAAAAAATATAGTGCTTGTTAAACTGGTTCAATATTGCTGTTGTAAAAATTATTCACAGGTTTGATTGAGTAATAATATTATAAGTTATAATAAAACTTAATAACAAAGCAACCCTATTATAATTTTAATTCTGTACAGAGCAAAAGGCATTGATCAAAGAAAGAATAAAACTAATACATGCTTACACGTTAATCCTCTACCAAGAATAGTCTAATTGATAAAATCAATCAATATTATCTGTCATTATCCTAAAATCTCCTAAACACTGATATAATCACCAAATATTTCTAGGAAAATTAAAAGCATAGAACAGTGAGCCATAAAGCCAACCAACCTGATCCATGAGATTTCAATCCCATATATCATACTTCAAATTTATGCAGAAAAAAAAAAATTATAATCAAAGTAAAGATTCCTTTTTTTCTAGCAGTCAGTTTCATATTTTCCAACTTTACCTCCCAAATGTCACAGTTAATTAAAAAAAATTATAGAAACTCATTTTTCTGACAGTTATACAAATTTTGTTCTAAACCCTAAAAGCAAGTACAAGAAACAAAATTTTCTAAGAAAATTCTGGAACAATGTTTCTTTTTATACAAGATTCTATACAGTAAACAGACATTTTATTGTTTTGAAAATTTAAAATCTTGTAACATGCATGAGGGTAAGATGTTTGCAAGCGTCTAGTGGAGGACAATCAATCAGGTCTTTGATATGTTTCACAAAGGATAATGATTAGTAGTGGTTTTCTTTTTTAAAAAGAAAAAAAGTAACATTCTCACACATTTGTCTAAACTCAGTCAAACTAAGAGGGAAGTATAAGAAATTGGAAATTTTTGATATGGAACAAAAAGATGCAGGATAGATTTAAAAGTGGGTAAATGGTATGCATGCCTTAGATGACTTTTTTTCTTCTCATGCATATTATTCCTTCAACATTTCTTTTAAATAAAAAATAAATTCATAAAAAGAATACTGCTAAATGTACATAATAATCAATGATAAAAGATTAGGAGTGTGACCAGGATTTTATATTCATTGATAATACATCATAAAAGATAATGCTGTAGTCTCTTAATATACATACAAACAGAAAGATCAAATTGATTGCTAACAATTATTAAATTAATTATTAAACTATATTTAAAAAAACATGATAAAAAAAAAAGAAACAGTGAGTAAAACTGAAGTCAATATGGCATTTTCATATTGTCAGATTGTGGCTGGAACTAACTTTGAAGCATAAAAAATTTCAAAAACCTAAGAAATAAACATCAAATAACTGATTAATTTGTCTTATATCAGTTTATTATAACTACTAAAAATACAAAATCATAAAATTACAATCTCTCAAAGTTAAAATTTCTTGGTTCGTGTCTGCATTAACATATGTATATAGAGGGGAACAAAAGTTGCTTATGAGTCAAAATACACACACATATATCAGGTCATCCCATAAGTTCTGTCCGAATTTTAACTTTTTGTTAAAATGAATGAAATTTAAAGAGTATTTTATAATGTCTAATGGAGCTGAACATTATTTTTATGTTTAGATGCATTTAAACTGATCAAATTTTATTTCAGAGAACAATAAAATTAAATTTTGTTTGATTAAAACCCTGCTAACATGGAAGTACCCAAGAATCATTTGAGGCACATAATGATTTATGAGTTCAAGAAAGGAAACTCAGCAGCCGAAGCAGCTAGAAACATTCACTCAGTTTATGGAGAGGAATGTGTGAATGAAAGAACTTGCAGAAGATGGTTTGCAAAATTTAGAGGTGGAGATTTCACCCTTGAAGATGAAGATCGAACCGGACATCCAGTTGAGTTTAATGAAAAGCTTCTTAAAGCAGCCCCTGAAGAAAATCCTGCTTTATCAGTTGAGGAATTGGCAGTGGTTCTCAGTTCAAACCATACAACTGTTCATCGTCATCTTCAACAACTTGGAAAAGTTCCTAACCTTGGAAAATAGGTGCCTAATGAATTGTCTGAAAACAACCTCAAACCCTGAGTTGACATCTGCTCTCTTCTCCATTCTTGCCAACTTGTTTCACCTTTTTTGGATAGACTTGTGACTGGCAACGAAAATGGATCTTTTATCGAAATGTTAAGTGTCGTAGACAGTGGCTTGGTAAAGGGGAAGGACCCCAGCCACAGCCGAGAAGGGCAAAAGGTTCTTCTTTCAATCTGGTTGGATCACCAAGGAACAATCCACTTTGAATTCTTATCACTGAATGCAACAATTAATGCTTAAATATACTGTCAGCAATTAGAGTGTTTGAACCAAGCTTTGAGGAAAAAAAAGACCTGCTTTAGTGAATCAAAAAGAGGTGATGTTTCATCAGGACAATGTGCGACCCCACACAGCAAGAATCATGTCACAAAAGATCGAAGAACTTGGTTGGGAGAAAATTCCTCATCCACCTTATTCTCCCGATTTTGCTCCTTCAGACTACCATTTGTTTCGTAGCTTACAGAATCATTTGGAAGAAACAGCTTTTGTAACACAGGAAGAGGTTAAAACTAACATTTGTGAGTTCTTCAAATCAAAGCCAAAAGAATTTTACAGTAATGGAATTAGTAAGCTTGTTAATAGATGGAAGGAAGTCATAGATAATCAGGGAAAATACATTGTTGATTGAATCTGTAATTAAATGTAACATTTGGACACTTG